TCAGCTGGCCCAGCCCTGTTCTCTGGACACCTCTGGAAAAGCAAACTTCTGTCAGTGTGGAGTTTAAGCATTAACAGATGTTTGCCTTCACATCTGTGTGATAAGCAGCTGCAAGTGCCACATCCTTGACACATGCAAGCCCAGCTCATACAAATATGTGCCCAAATATGTGCACAAGGGATAGTTTGGGGTCCCCAGGCTCCTGTTAGAAGTGGGGTTTTGGAATGGGTTAGTAAAATTTTACACATTTTAAAAGCTAGTCTGTGTTAAACTTTAGTTTGTGAGGTGCCTTCCCGAAAGCGAGTATTACAAGGAGTTGTTGTCTACCTGCATGAATTGGGCCCTGGCCCTGGTGGATAGCAGTCCTGGGTGGCATGTTCACAGTCACACACACACACCGTGTTAGACCTGGCACAGAGTATGGCTTCTGGCTGTTTGCTCTGTTTATTATCGAACACCTGGGTATTTGGAAATGTCTGTATATTTTTTGCAATGTGGAAGCCAAACATCCAGGTGACAGCCTGGCTCTTTGACCTTTGGCTTTTCACCCGTGTGCTTTTGGTGCCATACAAACTAAATCTACATTCCCAGTTGTCACCTGAAGGTAACTGGGGATTTAACTGGCATGTTGAAAGATTTGGGTAACAGAAGAATTCTGAAAAAAACCTGTCTGGGTCCCCTTTTGTCTTCACATCGATGGGGTGTGGAATGTTTGTAGAATCTACTTTTTGTGCCTCTAGCTTCAATCTGCTTTGTTTCAATATTGAAATGTTATTTTAAAAAGACTTTAGGGAACATAGTTTTGAAGCCCCATGCTCTCTAATTCTGTTACCTGGGAGATGGAAAATAATGATGGATTCCACAGTGATTTGGCTCTGGGCAGCAGTGAAAATTGCTGAGAATTGTACTGTGTTTGCAGTTGCTGGCTATCTCTTCACTTTTGTGTTTGGTTAGCTACAGAGTAACTAATGTGCGAGTTCTGTCACCTGGGGTCTACTACTCTACGGGTGGCGCTGGAGTTGTTTTACTTTTTGTTGCATATGAAATTTCTATTTAAGTTTGGAAAGTGCAAAAAAAAAAAAAAACCCCTCCAATATTCATAATTCTTGCATTTAATTATGTAAAGTGAATTGCTGACAACATGTTTCTTTCTGAATTTAGGCTGTTTTATACAGCCACGCTTGTAGTGTCAGGCTTATAGGCATCTACAGGGATGTGTTGTATGTGTTTGTATCATTTTAAAAAGTAGAATCCTGAATATACTTTCTCATCTGCATACTTTTTTCTTCTATCAAATGCTATATAATGATAGCTTGCTAGTTCTGAACATACGAATACCTTATTCTACTGACAATATATGATCTAGATATAATAAACTCTCCACTGGGTTATTTAGGATAAACTGTGTATTATTAATGACTGTGTGTGTGTGCTCTGCCACTGAGCTATACCCCCAGCTAAGTCTCCTTAATGGATTCCATTATCTTGTTACACAGAATATTTAAAATTGTATTCATGTGCCATGAAGGAATTGTGTTATTTCCTATGGGCCAGATTTCCTAAAGCTGGTATTAACGTGGCCAAAAAAATATGCCTTACTAACTTTAATGGTATCACCAGATTATTTTATCAAAAATTTTGTTCCTCAATTTCTGTTCCTGTTTTCAATTTATGTTCATACTTACCTCCATCTTCACCAAGTACTGAATGACATGATTTTCTAATTTTTGTTAATCAGCTGGTGAATCGCAGCAGGGTCTCATTATTCTTGTTTTCATTTGCATTTCCCTGATTGTTAATGAGGTTAAGCATCTTTTCATATGTTTATTGGGTATTTACAGTTCCTGTTCTTTGACAGCAAAGGTGGTGTATAAGCATTTGACCTAACAGGCCAAGATAATCTTAGCAAAAATCTGGGAAATTAAACAAGCAAACAGACCACACATTGGATGGTAGTCTTTTTAGATATACATTGAAAGTTGATATAGAAACACAGTGATTTAGAAACTCTATACCTTTGTTTCCCATTTTTATAGAGTTATTGTTTCCTTTATTTAGCTTGCAATTAAGCAGCCACTAAATACCAGTAGGATATTCTAACAAAAGTGTCAAAAGTCTTACCATTGGCAGTTTCTAGTTGTTCCTTTAGAAAATGCTACAGCTGATCATTTGGAATTGGTGGGTATGTCAAAGAATCAAATACTGGAGCAGTGGTGTAAGAAAATAAATATTAACAGCATTGCATGGGGCAGTATTGATTACCAAGGTTCCAGAAGGGTGGAAACATCCTGTTTGGTAAATATACTTTTCATCATAAAAGCATTTTATCACTGTTAACTCATTAATATTCCTAGTGCGTCTTTGCAGTATTCAGGGTGCATGGTCCCTTGTATAGAATGCCATATCTCCAGTGAGAGACTGGAGCTGACCATATTCCCTTGGGGCAAAACAAGCAGCTGCCAGGCTGAGCTGCATATGCCAGTATTTAATGTCTTGGGCCGAGGCAGATGATGTTCCCTCCCCATGTGGTTCAGGTTCAGTTCCATTTGGAATACACTGTGTGCCAAATCTGGATCCAGGCGCAAGAAAGACATTGACAGTTTGAATGGGGTCCAGAGAGAGGCACTGCTGTGATTAAGGGCTTAGGGGCTTGACATTTGAGCGGGGGCTCAAAGAACTGAATATTTACAGCAGGGCTAAATGCTGGATTACATGGCTTGGTGACGTTGGGGCCTGTGGCAGCATCCCTAAGTTACCCTTCATGTGATAGGTAGGTCCCTCAGAGATGAGGAGAAAGCCACTTCTGCTATCCCCAAGAGCTTGGGGTAAGGTGCTCACCTTGTGGGTACCTCTTTGTGTTCCTGTCTGCCTCTAGCTAGGCTAGTACCTGACTCCCCATGCTTGGTGCATTGCAGCTGCAAGTAGCACCCAGAGGCCAGCATATAGAATATTCTCTTAGTACCAAATTTGGTATCCACATGGGAGGCGTCTCTTCTCTTCTCTTCTCTTCTCTTCTCTTCTCTTCTCTTCTCTTCTCTTCTCTTCTCTTCTCTTCTCTTCTCTTCTCTTCTCTTCTGAGAATGCCTGGCCCCATATGTTGGTTCTCCTACAAGTTATAGCCCAGACACAGTGAATCCTTCGTGAATGCAGTGACAGACCTGCTCTGATATCCCAGAATACTACTGCACGTCTCAGCGCGTCAGTACTGCTGTTGTAGATCAGATGCCCTCAGATCCACTTTACTGCTAGATACCTATCTCAGTTCCAGTATTGTGAATCGGCTTCCCTGCCATCAGCTCCATAGTGTTAGACTCTGAGACAATCTCCATGATCGTTCAGAGTTCAGGTGGCAGCTGAGTTGGGTGGGTGACTGCTTAGAGGTCATTCTTTTTGAACCCAGTACACACCCTTGTTATTTTTTATTTTGAGACAGGGCCTCAGTAAGTTGCTCAGGCTGGGCTCATGTCAGCCTCCAGGAGAATAGGGTTATAGGTGTGTGCTACCATCCCAGGCTACAGGACTCATTTTTACCTCACTGCTTGTGCTCTGTTAAGAGGATCCTTCAAGAGACTGTCAGTGATGAGCAGTGATCTTGTTTCTGAGCTCACCAGCTATAACTACTCTGTAGTCCTGGCTTGGAAGCAGTGGTGGTGGAGTGAACTCATGCAGTCTCTTAACTCTGGCAGGCTGATCACTGGGCCTGCTTACTTTGTCCTGTTTTTATAATACAGCACTTGTGAGATGATTTTCTTCATTCTCTAATTTAGTTCATTGACTCACTCATGTGCTTTCAAAGGCTCTGCCTGTATTAGCGGTTTTTGTGTGATTAAGGCTGAAAACACTTGCATTACTCAGGGCATCATTCAGAAGGTCAGTTGAAATTCCTGAAATGATCATTGGTGATTTTTAGGCCTAGGCTTTTCGTTGCATTTTCTTTGCATTTCTCTGGAGTGCCTTTTTCAGTATTGCTAAGAATGATTTGGAAAGAAGTATTAAATCTCTGAATTCTAAAATTACACTAAAATTTGCATCTTGTCCTACTAATGAAAACTTACACTTTTAAAAAAGTGTGAGTCTACTGAAACACTTTAAAAACAAGATGAGAACATTAGAGTCTAGTCTTTTGGGATATTGACAGAACTGTGGGTAGGAGTCACATTAGCTTATTTTACATGTGCTTCTTATCTTTGCAAAGTCTTAAGGACTGCACACAGATGGATATATAACTTTTAAACTCATTGTTCCCATGTTTGGAATTCTGAGTATATGAGGAACATGTAACATCTATTCAGCCACCACCAGGGATGGAAAGGCGAGATCTGTGTTTCTTCTTGAGACGTCTTAAGACTTCCAGAGAGCATGTGAGAGCCATGAAGAAAGAAATGAAGGGCTTTTAAACAAGAAAGCTGCAGGAACAAGAAAACTGTTCACCTCATGCACTCTATGGGAGAATTACATTATCTAAGGCAGAAGGGAGCGTTCAGGGCAACGCTGGACACAGCTAGTACCAATTAGTGTGACTCTGCGTGGTTCCTGGGTGATATAGGGGCTGAGGAGTCCCAGTGGATGAGGGACCTGGTAACTCACTGCTCAGGGCATTGATACTGTGTAAACTTCCTGTCACTTGGGTTCTGCCACAGGACCCCTCAAGCCCCTGACAGTGACAGACCTGCTCTGATATCCCAGAATACCACTGCACATCTCCACGGGTCAGTACTGCTTCCTAGGTGTTCCCGTGGTGATGATCTGGATTTTCATATTAATTATGAGGACAATTTAGAATTCACACAGTTCTTTTCTGACTTCCTTGCCTTGCCCAGCTGCTTCCCCTTTTCCTCCTTTTTTTTCCTTTGGGTGCCAGGGATTAAACCATTAAGTATGTACTCTACCACGGAGCTATCTCCCAGTCCTAACCAACTGTATTTCAAACTAAGAAAGCAAATGATCTGGTATTCTGTGCTAAGATGATTAAATAACCACCTTTATTTTTATTTTTTCAGGTACGAAACCAGCACTGGAGCCTTATTATGGAAAGTGTGGTCCCATCTGACAAAGGCAATTATACCTGCGTGGTAGAGAACGAATATGGCTCCATCAATCACACGTACCACCTCGATGTTGTTGGTGAGTTCGCTTCTTCTCATGTGGCAGTTATTTGAAACCATGGACGTGCATCTTGTCTCTCCCAAGTGTTTAAAGAAAATCAGTTTATGTTCATTCTTTCTACATGCTAGCTGTCTTTGGAAAAGGATTCTTCTGTCACTGACATTGTTCTGTATCCTGATTAGCCAGGCCTTGTGGGTTTTGTGAGATCCTCTTGACTCCTAAGCATCATTTTTTATAAGGTAGACAATGTGTAAAATGCTTGGAAGCTGAGATTACTCTGAAAAATGTTAGTGTGTACAGGGTAAAGGTATCAGATAGAATGTAGAAGAATTTTGTTTTTATAAGAGAGGTAAAATTACCTAAAGATGGGAAACTGTATCATGTGGACTAAAGAGTAAAGAGAAAGGTATAATGACCGAACAGATAGCTGGCTATCAAAAGGTCAACATCAAGGGGCCCTTCACTTCCATTGGAAGAAAGTTGTTAGACACTACCAGTTCAGTGTCTATTCTGATATTATGAAAAGGGGACCATACATACGAGTTTATAAATGTTTTTATCAGAGTACACAGAGAAGTAAGCCATTTTAGTTAAACATCTTAAAGATGACACAAGCTGTTGTCTTAGAAACTCAAATTTCTTTCCAAGTTTTTCCTGTTACGATGAGTTTTTATTGTAACTATTCGAAGGTATTTCTGTATTGGAGAATTGCTAATACATGGATCTTCTTCTAATGCATGTCTCTTTGTGCAGAGGTGGTGGGATAAGATTTCTTTGCTGGAGCTGTTTGTTCTCTGACTTGTCACTTATCATGTCTTCCATCTGCTGCCTGTCCTTGGGCTATTTCTTTAGCTTACCTGATTAACATGCTTTTCCCTACACATAGGTTACTGACTTAGATTTAACAGGAAGCTCCCAAGAAGTTATTTTGCTTTAATGTGACTATAGGTAATGCCAGGAACACATGCCCACGTACTGTGCTCTATAAATGAGTCTCTTCTACATCATTTTCCATGCATCAGCCCATAGCATTATCTCACTTTTGAGTTTTTCTTTCCCTTTCATAAAATATACCCTGTTTAAATAAAGAGATTCCATAGATACTTGGATTGCTCAAAGAGCCACTAGAAACCTTTCCAAAAATTGGATTAACCAAATTATATAGGTTTAATTTAGCTGGAAACTAAACAAAAAACCATTTTGATTTCGTGTCAAGTTAAATGAAGTTCAATTCACAAAATTCACTGCCTTAGAAAGCATGATACAGTCTTTACTCTTGTTTGTATACAAGTATTCAGTGGGAAGAATATTTATTTGAACATTTGGGTTATTCAGAAGTCTTGATGTGAAATTTGATAGGTTTTGGTAGTCATAGAAGAGTAAGTTTTGAGGCCTCTTGTTTCCCTGGAGATATTTATAGTGTGATTCTTAGAATTAATGTGTTTAGGTGTTTTCAAAACAAGCACAAAGGGCAGTAACACACTTAAATATGAGAACCAAATAGGTAACATGTATTTTGGCATCAAGGTGCTATAAATCTAGAAAAGCGCATGACTTGGAATTTACTAATTTACTTTGGGCTTTGTGTGTACTGAATTTGACGTGACGTGTTTCCATAAAAGGGAAGAGTGTTCCATTCTGAGCTAAAAGTTCTAAATACCTAATTTTGAAATTAATTTATTGTGGGAAAAAATAATTGTGCTAAAACAACCTTCTGGGATTATGGGTTTGCATAGGCTTGGAAATTGTTCATTGAGATTGCTGGGACCATTCCAGGAAATGTAGAGTCCTATCCCTGCCATTCCAACCCTCGCTCTTACAGCAGGTTTCACTTGGAGTTGTTATGTAAAACATTCAAAAGGCCCTTGCCCCACCTCCTCTCTGAGCTTTTTGGCAGCTCATCCCCGTGAAGCCCTGAAATCTCTCTTAGAGTTTAGGGTAGGGATTTGAATTGGGCTGCTGAATAATGAAATTGTGCTGTCTAATGTTAATCCCCTGGCAATCAGTCTTGTTGAAAAGAGGGTATGATTCAGTAGTGTGATGTAGAGGGAGCGTGGAGTGTATGTAGTAATGCAGAGAGAGACCTGATTATGTCACAAATTTGGGAGATCGCCCAGCCAAACGCCGGCCAATAATGACACAATGCTGGTTGGGAATATCCATTAAAGCTCAACTCCAATAATTTTCCAAGCCTTGAACCTTCTTTATAAATAGAAGCCAAAAGTCAGTGAGTATAAGACGTTTTCAGTAAAGATGGAGGTGTGAAATACTCTCATCTTTGCTCAAAACTCTAGTAATTGCTTTGAGAAACGCTAATAAAATAAGAATTGAGTCAGCTAAAGAGTCTCGTAGAATTACAGGGTTGGCAGTCATTCTGAACATCTCAGCAAGTGGAAACAAAAGAGATACAGGCTTAAAAAATGAATTTCTTGTGGCCCACAGGCCCAAATTTAATATTTTGCTCCATGTAACAACCTCTAAGCTACATCTCTGTTGCTCAGAGAATCAGAATGTCTTTCCAGTGAAAATGAAGCCCTGTTCTTGCTCCCATTCTCTTGAGATTTTATTTTTGTTGCTATGCTACATAGACTTGTGGTTCAGATATTAGGAAGCATCAAAATGGGTGAGATCTTTTTATTGAAATTCCTCCTTGGAAAGGCATCCCCATAAGCACTTTAATGTAAAACCCGTGTAATTTAAGTGACATTCTTGTGTTCTGGAATTAAAGAGCAAACCATTGTTGTATGTGAGAGAAAAATGCTTTGTTTATGGGAGCCCTTTAAGGAGCCTTGCTTGATCCTCATTAAAATTGACACCATTACTTTTTAGCCATTTATTGCAAGGGAGAAGTAGTGTGAATCCCCACTTTTCAGTAATTGTGGTGGTAATAAAACAGGCTTCCTAAAGGAGCAGGCTGTAGGAGGTGCTAAGTCTTTGCCATGGTTCATCAGTGAGGGTTGCTGGTGCCCTGGATTTTATGAGGCTCTGCCACCAAGAAACCACACCTAGGATGAGCCATGAACTCTTTCCACATTCCCCAGATCTGACAGTGAGGGAGCTGAGACTCATGTGCTTGTCCACAGGGGCAACAGTCATGTCAGAGGGTACGTCTGTGCAGGGGGTGGACTGGGACAAGTTACTTAGCTCTTTTGAAAGTCTGTGTTACCTTTAGCAAAATGGGAAGAATGGTGCTTATCTCATTCCTGTGATGGTCGTGTCAGTTTCCTCCATCTGCTGTAATGAAGAATTCCAAATTTCATTGGCTTTCAATAGTACACATATATTTGATTATAGCTGTGGAGCCTAGAAATTCAAATCAAGGTGTTGCCAGGTATCATGCCTTCGTCACAGTTTCCAGTCCTTGGGGATTCATCGTTCTACTCTCTGCTCTTATTACCTTCATGTAATTGTCTTCTGTGTAGTTTGAATTTCCCTCCATTTTTGTCTTAGGATGCCTATTGTTGGATTTGGAGCTCTCCTTAAATTGAGGATGATCTTATCTCTATCTCATTTTAAATTAATTATATCTGTTAAGATCTTTTTTTCTGAATAAGGTCATATGCATGGGTGCCCAGGGTTAGCACCAGGCATCTCTTCTGGGAGCCACTATTCAGCTCACTGCAGTAGTCATGAGGCACAAGATGAGTGAGCAGGCAGAAACACCACACTCTTATGTATGTGGCCAGCTACAGATACCAGTGTGCTTCCTTCCATAGCTGAATTCTTTTGAGGATTGGAAGGAGTTTTTACTAGCTTTTATTTATCACCATCAAAAGTCTTACTAAATAAACCAAGTGCCATTTTGGGACCCACAGAACTGCCTAGGAGCTGATGTTCCTATATCCTGCTGTAGTTTTCACCTGTGTCTTCAAGGCCATCCTAAGACTAATCTGGTTACTGAACTTGCAGGAGAGATTCAGAGTTTAAATGCTTGAAGTTCACTGAGTGGGCCTCTTGACCCCATTTCCTCCCCACCCCATCTTCCGCAGAGGTAATTTAGGTCCAGCAGATGTAATGATTCATGTAAGGACTCGCTTAGGGCGGTGGAGCTAGGGAACACCTCACTGGAGGTGTTCTTAGCCTCTAGGTCAGTGCTGCTTCCACTGCAGGTACCTCCTTCATGTCCGCTTCGGTGTGGACAGTGACGGCAGTGACGGCAGCCACACTCTTCAGTAGGAGCTGCTGCTTCGCTACACACACACACATGCACATGCGCGCGCGCGCACACACACACACACACACACACACACACACACACAGACTGAGAGTCAAAAGACAGATTGCTCTTTCTCATTCATGAAGACCCTGGGAGTGTTCTCTTGGACACTCCAGTTCTGCATTACCATCAGATAACGGGGTCGCTTTTTCATATGGCATTTGATATTTTGGGGGCAACTGTGGGGATAGAGGTGGTGCTTCTGGGTTTGCCTGGACTAGCCACATATTTTCCAGAACTTTGTCTCTTATCTGGTAGTGAAAGGTGTGAGCAGTAGACCAGCGTCTCAGTGAATGGTTGAGGGGTCATCAGGGGCTGCACTTTACTTTTGGCCGGGTAGAGATCACCCTGGCTCCACCACTAGCCCCGACTTGCTCGGCGGTAGACCAGAATGGCGCTTTGACTAGCCCTGACATAGTCCTTTGTAACTTGGCTCGGATGTGGTGGGGTGCACCCTGAAGCATGAAGGAGGCCGTCCCTCAGGTGTGCATTCAAGAGGAATGAGGATCGCCTGTTCCAGGGCCTGACTGATAAGCGCACTGTGGCATTGATGCCTGGCACTGAGGTTTTGGCAGCCGGTCTCCAGTGGGAGAAGGAGAAATTGCACAAATTGTTTATTGCCAGGGGCTGCGTGGGTCCTGGGAAGACAAAGGCATAGTGTGATCTCCGAGCAGAGGTGAAGGGACAAAGAAAAACCAAAGTCCTTCGAATCACTTCCGAAGAGTAAATGGGACCCTTTGTGGGTTTGGCCTAAGAGTAGAATTTAAATCAGTGAAAAAGTGGTGGCCTTACTAGTCAATGA